TCCTCCTGCCCCTCCCTCCCCATGCTCCTCCTACTCCTCCTCCTCCTCCTCCTCCTCCTCCTCCTCCTCCTCATCCTCATCCTCTCACTCAGCCTCTCGCCTGCTCTATTAATAACACAAGCTGCGATTGGGACAAGGCCGATGCTGCCTTTGATGCTCCGACATGAAATCCGCTAAGTAGCGGAAAATTTATCCATTCACCCTAACGAGAGAGAAAAATCGCCGAGCTTCTTCTCTTGATCAATCTCGACGCGCGTACCAAGCGAGTACGTAAGGCGCTTATATATATATATATATATGTACGCGCGCGCGCACACACGCCAACCAACACACGTGTGTACGTTATCGTGCGCGATCGTGTATGAGCACGACGACACAATTTTACATTTATAACGATTTTATTAGCCCAATAAACTTGGCTTATTACCGCGGCGAAGACAAGGCAATTTTCATTTCTCCGATATATTCGGCGAATCGATCGTTGTTTGTTTGTTGTTTTGTTTTTTTGTTTTTTTTGTTTTGTTTTTTAAATCCGAGGACGAAATGTGATGCATTTTTTTCCAAATAATAATTTTTTTACGGATATAGTGACACCCTAACGACAATGTTATTATTTTCAAAGATATATTATGGTGTTCGTTTAACAAACCATTTTTTATTATTTAATTTTTATAGTTATATTTACTTGACTTTTAATTCAATAGTTATCTGAAATTCAACATTTATAGTGTTCGTCGAAACCAGAGGAAAAAATAATAGTCTTCCATGAATATTGATTTATATGCAATTGAATAAAATAAAACAAATAAATGCATTTCAGGGAATAAGAGTGAAAATAAAAGCTTGAAATATTTAGAGCTAAAATATATGTATCGAGTCAATGAATAAATACCATAAAATTATTAATTAAATCTTCAGGTTAATTCAATTGAAAATAATCCTTAATAATTATATTTCAATGTACTAAGACGATATCATTTATGTAAAGATGTATAGAATTATCAAAGACTATGTTTAATTTACAAATATTAGCGCTAGCCGAACCGTTTAAATAATCGTCTAGTAGTCTTTGTTTAATTTAGTAAATTTTGTTTTGTTTCTAAATTGAAAACGATCTGATGTAAAGTGAGTAATGAGAAAAGAAATTTATGTATCAGCAGTTACGAAGACGAAAATAAATAGATGCGCGAACTTTTTTTACTACACTCGTAACACATTTTGTCTTTACACAAAAACTTTATGTTCATATATAAAGTCATAAATATTATTCACGGTATATTACTCACTCACTCACCTCACCTCACCTTCCCCCCCCCCCTCACCCTCCAATATCTTTTAGTTCCAATGCTAATATTTACATGGTAACTTTCATTTGTATATCGATGTGTGGAAGATAATTATTGTGCGTTATTAAATTAAAAAATCAAATGCTAAAACTTGGTAACAATAAACAGAAAAAAAAGATTTCATAAAAACTAATCCAATATTAATCACAAGTGCAGATTTTTATGTAGAATTAAATGATTTATTATTATCAGATCATCGATTAATGTTAGTTTTCGATCAATCATAATAAATCATTTTATCCTGAATAATTCATTGATTAAATATCTTTGAGATAAACTTTTCTGCACTCTGAGTTAACATTTATGATTTGACATACGCGTTTTCCAACCCTTCACATTATTATTCACTACGTTTATCCAATCGGTATAAATAAATAAAAATATAAATTTTGACGGATATAAAGCAGATGTAAATGATATTAACTCGCTCACCCTTCGAAAACAACAAGCGAAAAATGACATGTTGTATTGATATTTTCACAGTATTTTAAGTAAGATAATCCTTATGATGGATGATTCCGCTTTTTTTCTTTCTTTCTTTCTTTTCTTCTTTCTTTACTTCTTTTAAATATAGATATTAATACATTTGTTCCACTCACGATCAATTCTTAGATATTTTTTATTCTGATATTATTAATGAAAATTTTCTGAAAGGGTCGTTAAATTGAATAAAAATCTTTATCATACTTGAGCTTTTAAGCATTTCTCGTAAAATTGCAAATGTCAAGATTAAAACGTATTTCCCTCGTCTGTACAAAAATAACAATAACTCTCTCTCTCTCTCTCTCTCTCTCTCTCTCTATCGTCTCTCTATCGTCTCTATATCTCTCTCCTTGTATTGAAATACACTACATTTATTTATTTTTGTTTTGCGCTCTTTTTATTTATATGCCACTGAAGAAACTGAACGTGGCTGTGTCGTACCGTTAATTAGTCTCTAGCCACGCGTTCTCGCACAGTTATGATGGTTGATGAATTTTTGCACATGCGCCCCCTCGGCTTTTAGCACCTGCGCATGCTTTAGCCATTTTACATATTTCGTCAAGTTTACCAATATAAAGTTATGGATAATTATAACTTTTGTTGACCCTAAGCGTATCGATCAGCATTGTGATTATGGAAGTCGCAGGTTTAACAGAAAATCACGGCACGTTATTACGTCTTTTATTGTTTTGTTTTGTTTTTATTTTTTTTTTGTTGTTTTTTATATACTGAAGATTCCAGTTTGTTATTTAGCTCTTACAATAATTAAATTTTACACAACGATATTCAGAATTGTCTGTAAGATAAAACGAGATACGAGGTATTATGTAATATGAAATCAGTACGTGTGTGAGATTTGTTTTGAAACTTTATAAAATCATTTGTATGCTTTTACAATCGATGAATTAATATTCTAAAATATTGCTTAACAATATACAATAAATACTAAATGCTATAAATTTTGAAACTATTTTGGCATCTTACTTCATTCATTTAATAAACAGCAGATTTATTTTAATAAGCACGTTTTAAAAATGTCTGTTTTAGTCAATATGAAAAAAGACTATTCTTATATCTATAATATTTAAATATATATAAATAATTTGAAATAATTTGTATTTTATAATAATTATTAATTTATTGATATTTAATAATAAATATGTATAAAATTATTATGTTGAAAATATTTATTAATGGCTTGAAAATTTAATATGTTTAAAATTTATTGTTGTTAAGCAGTAATTGTATACACATGAAAATTAATAATGTATATGTAAGTAAATAATATAACGAATTACCATAAATGATTTGAATATACAGTTGATTTTATAAAAAATTGGCTTTATATAGATATTTATGTATAGTGTTACGAGTGTTTGCTAGGGGCGTTTACGCTAATTATATATAATTAGCTACACATTGAAAATTTATTCAATCAATTGGTAAGTATATTGAATTTATAAGTTTATGGGATAAAGTTTTATTTGACTAATGTAGATACCATAAGGAAGGACTATTAGATATTTAAAAGTTATTACACAAATTTAAAAATATATTGCCTTACTCGCGAATTTATTTAATTCATGAAATTAATGCTAATGTTTTTGCTTCTGACTAAAAAAAAAAACTTTAAATATATATGTATATAATAATAATGGTGATAATAATAATAGTAGAACTAAATTTAGTACACAATGTTATTATAGTCCATTCATTATTCACGATCTACATGACTTAAGAATATTATTCAAAGTATATTGTTCTATTTGATTCTTACAATTGCTTCGACTTACAAATTTCTAACCCTTAATCTACTTGAAATAGTAGAAAGTACATTACCAAAACTTTAGTATGTTATCATGCGAGTATTACGTGAATTTCACTCTACTTCTTTAGAAAAACTGTACTGATTCGAACGACCTCCCGCGGCAGTTTCATAAACTCACAACTACAAAGCAGCACTACATTTTTATGATAATAAGGCGCGTCCTTACTATATATGCATATATATATATATATATATATTACCGGCTTGGTTATGCTTGTGCGTACTCATGCATACTAGCATACGTATGTATGAGCTACAAAGTTGTAAATATTCTGATCTGAATTTAAACTTTACTGGATTGATAAAGTAGACTGTATTTTTACAATCTGTGAGAGAATAATGCATGAGTTGCGAAAGTTTTCTTTTAAGTTTATTCCAAGGAAGAGCGATCCAACTGAATTATTTCATAACTGGCATTGAAATGTGACGTTTAGGTACTTGCTCCATGTTATGTCTATGTAGTAAATCTTTTTGTAAAAAAAATCAATCTATAAATATATATATATATATATATATGAAAAGTTATCGATTATATTCATTAATATTTGAACTATTAAAAAATTCAATATATATATATATATATATATATATATATATATATATATATATATATATATATATAATATTTAGGGTTTTTAATGAAATGTAAGATTGTGTTTATAAAATAAAAATTGATGCTCAAAATCATTTTTACGATGAATCTTAATCGAGACATTATGTTAAATTTCTCAATGGTCATTTTTTTTTTTTTTTTCGTAAATATAGAGATTCAAATTGAGCTATTCAATTGCTGTGACAAAGTTCGTTGATTTAAATAGGATAGAGTTGATGATTTTTGTTGAAACCGGTTAAGGAGAAAAAAGAAATGGATAGGTTGTGAAAATTTTAATTAAAAATGTTTGTTCGTCTATAGCTAATAAATGAGGGACCTTCCAATAAATTAATTGTCACTGACCTCAACGTTTCAAAATAATTAGGAAAGTATGTCAATTTGTATATCGACGATACCCGAACGGTGACATACAAATTTAAGCCTAAGATACGTCAATTTCCAAACATTCGTTGCTATGATGGGATTTCATTACTTTTTGAGCAATCAACTAGCCATATGTGCATACAAAGCGACAGGATAATTAAGCTTAGCTTTTATCCTTGTTTATCGGGTTAAGCCTCAACCATATTTCAAGTGCATTGCGTGTAATTGACGATTCCAATAAATTTTTACACTCATATGAGCAACTATGGTCCATCGCAGGAAAAGCCCGAGCGTATAAATAAGCAAAGGTATCCTGCGTCAAGGATTTCTTACGAGCCTTATTATTAAAAATCGAGAACGTCTAGGCTATCGATCCGTCGCTGTAAATGACCGCAATAGCGATCTTAGCCTCGTTTCAACTCGAAGCTCGCAAGTACGCGATAACCCCGGTGAAGTCCCTTAATCGTCGTTGCGTTTAACAGGATTTTTGTAGCGCGCTCGCGGCTCAGGATCTCTTGGCAAAATAAGTTCCCCTATCCCATGCATTAATCGAGTAGGCGCGTGAGAAAGAAGAAGCCTCGTTTAAGGCTTGGACTATCGATTCGTCGATCGAGAGGAGCAACGCGGCGTGGTGTCATCGACCTCGAACCATTCATTGCCAACGTAGTCGTAGTCTATGTCAGCGTCGTCGTCGTAATCGTCGTCGTCGTCGTTGCCATTGTCGTTGTGGTCGTCGCGGTGGTCGTCGTTGTCGTAGTCGTCATCGTCGTCATTGTTGCCGGTGGTTTGCACGCGGTCGGCACTCGATACAACGAGTCGATCTCACGCGAGCGAGCGTCAGTCGTGTGCAGGCAGCGTTGAGTGGCGCGTGCGCGCACGCAGAGCTCGTCTGGGCTTTTTCGAATTAAAATTCGGTATTGGGTGCGCTCGTTTAGAGCGGGTAACCGCGCGAGTGATTACGAGTCGAGGAGGTGAACCAGGAGAAGACGCGTGGAGAGCGTGCCCGAAGAACACGAAGCTGGGAGCGGAGCGGAGCTCGGGAGAAACTGGTACGCGACTTTATCCGATGATGCCCCATTCTCCGTGTTGTTTTAATGGCTAGAATTTATGGCAGTGCGCCACGCAGCCTCGTTATATAAATCTCCTCCTATGTGTTGTTACCGACACTTGGGGCCGTTAGGTAGGTCGTTCAGGAGAAGGTTTTAAAGTAGGTTTACATAGAGGCGCGCGCGGCTCGTTTAGACGTTGGCGAACGGAGTCGCGAGGTTTGATTTACCGTGAGGGCGATCCAATGTTTGATGAAACTCGAATGGAAATTATTTGCTTGTAAAGGATCGATACTGTTGCTCGGCTGATTAACGAAGTATCATCTACGAATTGAAATTACTTTCAAACAGGGCGTACAGCAGTTTTGCGTTAATGACGGGGACGCTGAATTTAACAATTAACAACGTATAGCAGGTTGCCCCTTGACCTACATGCAATCTTATAATCTTTATTGGACATTTTTAATTTATCATTGTAAGTTTATTTTGTCGATGATGTTTACAGCTTAAGCGTCCGTTGCGTGCCTATTATGTGGTCAGAAGAGCTTAAAAAATTATAATCATAGTAGTAGCGTAAATAACAGTTACGAAAATCGATACTGGAATTCCAATTCTATATATATATATATATATATATATATATACTAACTGTAAGAATTCTTAAATCTTATCATAAAGCTGCTTGATCGAAGAGAATGTGCTTTAAAAAATTCATTTAAATAAATAATTACACGCATGTTTATGATTTAGTTATAAATTTACAAAAATTATAAATCTAATTCTTAGCGGTTAAATGTCATATAAATAAGAAATAAAATCATATCCTGCGGTCCGTATTACTTTTCATAATAATGAATTTATAAATGCTTAAAGAATAATAATTACCTTATTTATATTATCACGAATCTTTTATTATTACTTTCTTTTATTTAGTCGAAATAAAGTTAAACATTATTTAAATGATAATATTAATTTGCAATTCCGATTTTACTTATGTATTAAAAACCCCATTTATTGTTAATTTAAATATTACTTAATAAGCTTGTGTTTGTGCGCGTATTTGCGCGCGCGCGCGCTGTTGGGTATTTTAAATAATAATTAAAAAGAAAGCACGAGGGATAATGCTTAGTAGATTACATAAAATTTTATAAAAGTGCATTACATTACAATTTATAAGCAG